TTGATGACAGCCATTCTGACAGGTGTGAGATGGTACCTCATTGTTGTTTTGATTTGCATTTCTCGGATGATTAGTGACTTTGAGCGTGTTTTCATATGTCTCTTGGCTTTCTGAATGTCCTCTTTTGAAAAGTGTCTATTTAGGTCCTTTGCCCATTTTTTGATTGGGTTGTTTATCTTCCTTTTGTTAAGTTGTAAGAGTTCCCTATAAATGTTGGAGATTAAGCCCTTATTGGTGATAAAATTGGCAAATATGTTCTCCCATGCAGTGGGCTTTCTTGTTGTTTTGTTGATGGTTTCTTTTGCTGTGCAGAAGCTTTTTATTTTGATGTAGTCCCATTTGTTTATTTTCTCTTTAGTTTCCAATGCCCTAGGAGCTGTATTGGTGAAGAAATTGCTTCGGCATATGTCTGAGATTTTGTTGCCTTTGGATTCTTCTAGTATTTTTATGGTTTCCTGTCGTACATTTAAGTCCTTTATCCATTTTGAGTTTACTTTTGTGTATGGTGTAAGATGGTGGTCTAGTTTCATTTTCTTGCATGTATCTGTCCAATTTTCCCAACACCATTTATTGAAGAGACTATCTTGACTCCATTGTATGTTCGTGCCTCCTCTGTCAAATATTACTTGAGCATATTGGTTCGGGTCGATTTCTGGGCTCTCTATTCTATTCCATTGATCTATATGTCTGTTCTTGTGCCAGTACCAGGCAGTTTTGAGAACAGTGGCTTTGTAATACAGCTTGATATCTGGTATTGAGATCCCACCTACTTTGTTCTTTCTAAGGATTGCTGCAGCTATTCGGGGTCTTTTTTTATTCCAGATGAATTTTTGGAGAGTTCGTTCTAGGTCTGTGAAATATGCCGATGGTATTTTAAAAGGAAGTGCACTAATTTATAGATTGCTTTGGGTAGTATGGACATTTTAATGATGTTGATTCTACCGATCCAAGAACATGATATGTTCTTCTGTCTGTTTATGTCTTCCTCTATCTCTTTTTTCAATGTCCTGTAGTTTTCTGAGTAGAGGTCTTTTACCTCTTTAGTTAAGTTTATTCCTAGGTAGCTTAATTTTTTTGGAGTGATGGTAAATGGGATTGTTTTTTTAGTCTCTCTTTCTGTAAGTTCACTATTGGTGTATAGAAATTCCATAGATTTCTTGGCATTAATTTTGTATCCTGCTACATTGCCAAATTCATTTATTAAGTCTAATAGTTTTTTTATGGAGTCTTTAGGGTTTTTTATATATAATATCATGTCATCTGCGAACAAGGACAGTTTTACTTCTTCTTTTCCAATTTGGATGCCTTTTATTTCTTCTTCTTGTCTAATTGCAATGGCTAATACTTCCAATACTATGTTGAACAGGAGTGGTGAGAGTGGGCATCCCTGGCTTGTTCCTGTTCCTAGGGGAAATGGTGTTAGTTTTTGTCCATTGAGTATGATGTTGGCTGTGGGTTTGTCATATAAGGCTTTTATTATGTTGAGGTATGATCCTTCTATTCCCACCTTGCTGAGAGTTTTTATCAAAAATGGATGTTGGATTTTGTCAAATGCTTTTTCTGCATCAATTGATATGACTATGTGGTTTTTTTCTTTCAATTTGTTTATGTGATGTATCACGTTTATTGATTTGTGGATATTGTAACATCCTTGCATCCCTGGGATAAATCCTACTTTGGTGTATGATCTTTCTGATGTACTGCTGGATCCGATTTGCTAAGATTTTGTTGAGGATTTTGGCATCTATGTTCATGAGGGATATTGGCCTGTAATTCTCTTTCATTGTGTTGTCTTTACCTGGTTTTGGTATTAGGGTGATGCTGACTTCATAGGATGAGCATGGAAGTGTTCTTTCCTCTTGAATTTTTTGTAGTTGTCTGAGGAGGATAGGTTTTAGTTCTTCCTTGAATGTTTGGTAGAACTCCCCTGTGAAGCCATCTCGTCCCGGGCTTTTGTTTCCTGGAAGCTTTTTGATGACTGCTTCAATTTCTTCCATAGTTATTGGCCTATTGAGATTTTTAGATTCTTCCTGATTAAGTTTTGCAAGGTTGTATTTTTCTAGGAATTTGTCCATTTCCTCCAGGTTGTCTAGTTTGTTGGAGTAGAGTTGTTCATAGTATTTTTTAACAATCCTTTGTATTTCTGTGGGGTCTGTTGTTATTTCTTCTCTTTCATTTCTGATTTTGTTTTTTGGGTCCTCTCTCTTTGTTTCTTAGTGAGCCTGTCTAGAGGTTCATAAATCTTGTTTATCCTTTCAAAGAATGAGCTCTTGGTTTTGTTGAGCTTTTCTATTTTTTTTTTGGTCTCTATGTCATTTATCTCTGCTCTGATATTTATTATTTCCTTCCTTCTGCTTACACAGGGCTTTTCTTGTTGCTCTCTTTCTAACTGTTTGAGTTGTAGGGTTAGGTAATTTAGTATCATTGTTTCTTGTTTTTTGCAGTAGGCTTGTAGAGTTATGAACTTCCCTCTCAAGACTGCTTTTGCTGTGTCCCATAGGTTTTGGATTGTTGTCTTCATTGTCGTTTGTTGCCATGATGTTTTTTATTTCTTCTTTGATCTCTCTGGTAACCCAGTCATTGTATAATAGCATGCTATTTAGTCTCCATGTGTTTGATTTTTTTGGATTGTTTTTATTGTAGTGGATTTCCTGTTTTATGCCATTGTGATCTGAGAAGATGCTTGACATGATTTCTATCTTCTTGAATTTGAAGAGACTTTGCCTGTGACCCAATATATGGTCTATATTTGAAAATGACCCATGTGCACTTGAGAAGAATGTATATTCTGTGGCTTTGGGTGAAATGTTCTGAAGATGTCAATTAATTCCATCTGATCTAGTGTGTCATTTAGGATTGCTGTTTCTTTGCTGATTTTTTGTTTAGAGGATTTGTCCAATGGTGATAGTGGGGTGTTAAAGTCCCCTAATATGACTGTATTGCTGTCAATCTCTCCATTGATCTCCTCCAGAAGTTTTCTTATGTATTCGGGTGCTCCTATATTGGGTGCGTATATGTTTACCAGAGTTATTTCTTCTTGTTGCATTGCTCCCTTTAGTATTATGAAGTGGGCTTCCTTATCTCTTTTTACGTCCTTCACTTTGGGATCTAATTTGTCAGATATAAGTATTGCTACCTCAGCTTTTTTTTCATTTCCATTCGCCTGAAAAAACCTTTTTCCATCCCTTCACCATCAGTCTGTGTGCGTCTTTTTTTCTGAGGTGGGTTTCCTGTAGACAGCAGATATATGGGTCATGTTTTCTTATCCACTCAGTTACCCCATGTCTTTTGATTGGGGCATTTAATCCATTTACATTTAAAGTTATTGATAGATACTTGTTTGTTGCCATTTTAATTCTTTACCCCTGTGTTCCTTCTTTGTTTCCTATTTTCTTCTTTTACAGCAGACCCTTTAGCATTTCTTGCATTGCTGGTTTGGTGGTAATAAACTCCCATAGTCTTTTTTTGTCTGTGAAGCTCTTGATTTCACCTTCAATTTTGATTGATAGCCTTGCTGGGTACAGTATTCTTGGATTCAGATTTTTCCTTTGCATGACTTTGTATGTTTCATTCCATTCCCTTCTTGCCTGATGTGTTTCTGTTGAGAAATCCATCGCTAGTCTGATGGGGGATCCTTTGTAAGTAACTTTCTGTCTCTCTTCGGCCACTTTTAAGATTCTTACTTTGTTGTTGGTGTTTGCCAATTTAATTATAATGTGCCTTGGCATCAGTCTTTTGGGGTTCATTTTGTTTGGGACTCTGTGGGCTTTTTGGATTTGTGTGAGTTTTTTCTTCCCTATATCAGGGAAGTTTTCTGTCATTATTTTTTCAAACAGGTTTTCTATTCCTTGCTCAGTTTCCTCTCCTTCTGGCACCCCAATTATGTGGATGTTGTTTCGTTTCATGTTGTCCCAAAGTTCTCTTAGTCTCTCCTCCTGCATTTTAATTTTTTTTTCCAAGAAGCTGCTCTGCTTGGGTATTTTTTCCTATCTTGTCTTCTAGCTCAGTGATGCAGTCTTCTGCTTCTTATAGTCTACTGTTGATGCTTTCTATTATAACCGTGGTTTTGAACTCTATGTCCAGTAGTTTACTTTCCTCCATTTCTGTCATTGTGACCTGTTTCTTTGTCTCCACATTTTGGCTGCTTTCCTGTGTTGATAGAGTGGCTTTCTGTGCTACGGGTCCTACAGGACCCAGTGCCTCAGCCTCCCCAATTACCTGAGGTAGACACTCTTGGTGCACCCCTTTGTGTGGGCTGTGTGCACAGTCTTGTTGTAATTAAGCCTTGATTGTAGTTGGTATCACTGGGAGGATTTGACCTCCAGGCCAATTGGCTGTGAGAATCAGCTGTGTCTATGGTGGGAGAACTTCTGTACTGGAGTATTACCCTTATGCGGCAAGACTCGCTTCAGTGGGGCTTTGGTGCTCACTGAGTCTTCCCCCTGAGTTTCCCTTATGGATCTGAGGAGTTGTAATCTGGATGGTCCCACTCTGACCACTGGGTATACCGGCACTTGGATCTCTAAGGAGGTGCTAATTTAACTCTGCCTTAGGCCACCCAGCAGGGGCTATGGAGAGATCTTCAGATTCCTCTTCTTTTTTTGGGATTTGGAGGTGCCCAGATGAGGCCCAGCTGTGAAACAGCGCAAGCTGCTGTGGGACCTTGGGCCTTCTTTTGGATGTTCTGGGTCTCTTTGACCCAGCTTCCGTTTGTTAGGTAATTTTAGATTTCAAAGGGCCAGGTCATTCATATGCAAAAGCCTCTGCACACACCTTGGGTGGGGCGGAGTATCAGGGAATCAACAGAGTGGAGCAAACAGCTATGGCTGCTCCTCAGTCCTACCCTAAGAGGCCCCGTGTCTCAGTGTCCCGGTAATTTCTGCAAGCACCTCTGAGAGAAAGCCGTCCTTGTGTTCAGCCTGCTGCCAGACAGTTCACTTTCTCTCTGTATGAGTCTGAGTCCCCAGAGTCTCGTCCGGAACTGGAGTCAGGGCCGTTGGGAGCTTGTGTCTCCCTCCCGATTGAAAAAGACAACTTGCATGCAAGAGCAACCTGGAGAGACTTTGACAGCTCAGGTCAGCATAATACCTGCAGCTGCCACTCGCCTTTCCTATATCTCAGAAAAAAGAAAAGAAAAAAATAAGGGAAAAAAGAAAAAGAAAAGAAAAAAAGAAGAAAAAAAGGGGAAAAAAAGAAAAATGACAACTGCGTCCTCAGTTTTCAGTCCTTTCAGTGTGCGCCTCTATACCTTTGCACTTTACTTCCGCACCTCCTCTGAGTCTCAATGCTTTTCTCTTTCCTTCTAGTTGTAGAATTTCCACTCAGCCAGCCTTCCTGTGGTTCTGGATAATGTCTGTTTTGTCTTTTAGTTGTATTTTTGAAGTGGTTGTGTGAGGCAGCAATTTCAGGTGTTTACCTATGCCACCATCTTGGTTTTTTCCCCACATCTTCTTTATCCAATCCTTATTGAAGGACACTTTGGTTGTCTCCATGTTTTGGCCACCGTGAATAATGCTGTAATGAACATAGGTTTGCATATATTTTTGTGAATAAATGTTGAGTTTTTTTCAGGTAGATACCCAGAAGAGGGAATGCTGGGTCATATGGTAACTCTATTTTTAGTTTTTTAAGGAACCACCATACAGTTTTCCATAGTGGTTGTACCAGTTTATATTCCCACTAACCTCTCCAACACCTGTCTTGATAATAACCATCCTAACAGGTGTGAGATGGTATCTCATTGTAGTTTTGATTTGCATTTCCTAATAGCTAGAGAAGTTGAACATCTTTTCATATATCTGATGGCCGTGTGTATGTCTTCTTGGGAGAGGTGTCTGTTCAGGCTCTCTGCTCAAATTTCTTTTAAATCCTTATCCAAGGATATTCTTATTGATTTTAGAGAGAGGGAAAGGAGAGAGACAGAGACAAAGAGAGAGAGAGAACATTCTAACATTCTCTAAACATTGATTGGTTTTTTCTTGTATGCACTCTCAGTGGGAATTGAATGCTCAACCTAGGTATGTGCCTGGACCAGGAATCAAACCCACAACCCTTCAGTATGTGGGATGATCTAATCTACTGAACCACACTGGCCAGGCCCTCTGTCCATTTTTTAATTGGATTATTTGTTCGGTGTTGAATTGTATAAGTTCTTTACATATTTTGGATATTAACCCTTAATTGAAGCTACTAGAGGCCTGGTGCACAAAAATTTGTGCACTCGGGGAGGGGGGTTCCCTCAGCTCGGCCTGTGCCCTCTCGCAGTCTGGGACCCCTCAGGGGATGTCCACCTGCTGGTTTAGGCCCGCTCCCTGGGGGATCAGGCCCAAGCTGGCAGTCAGACATACCTCTTGTAGCCCAGGAGCCCTCGGGGGATGTCCACTTGCCAGCGGGGACCAGGCCTAAGCTGCAGTTGGACATCCTTAGTGCTGCTAAGGAGGCAGGAGAGGCTCCTGCATCACAGCTGTGCTGGCAGCTGGCAGCTTGTCTTGTGGCTGAGCAGAGCTCCCCCTGTGGGAGTGCACTGACAACCAGGGGGCAGCTCCTGCATTGAGCGTCTGCCCCCTGGTGGTCAGTGTGTGTTATAGTGACCAGTCATTCCCAGTTGTTCTGCTGTTAGGGTCAATTTGCATATTACCCATTTATTATATGCCTGGTGCATGGGTGGGGGCTGGCTGGTTTGCCATGAAGGGTCTCCTGGATCAGGGTGGGATTCCTGCTGGGGTGCCTGGCCAGCCTGGGTGAGGGGCTAAGGGCTGTTTTAAGACTGTCCACACACCCTTCAGGGAGGGGGCTCCTGCTGGGGTGCCTGGCCAGCCTGGGTGAGGAGCTGAGGGCTGTTTGCAGGCTGGCCACAGCCCCTTCAGAATGGGGGTTCCCACTGGGGTGCCTAGCCAGCCTGGGTGAGGGGCTGAGGGTTGTTTGCAGGCTGGCCACACCCCCTTCAGGGTGTGGGGGGGTCCTGCTGGGGTGCCTGGCCAGCCTGCATGAGGGGCTGATGGCTGTTTGCAGGCTGGCCAAGGCCCCTGGTGGGGACCCTCACCCCATGAGGGTGTGGACAGCTTGGGTGAGTGGCTGATGGCTGATTGCAGGCTGCCAAGCCTCCCAGTGGGGACCCTCACCCCATGAGGGTGTGGCCAGCCTGTGTGAGGGGTTTATGGCTGTTTGCAGGCTGGCCAAGGCCCCCAGCCACCCAAGCTCCCAGTGGAGGCTGGCTGGATGCAGGTATCTGGGATTTATATCTTCTATAATTGAAACTTTGTTGCCTTTAGCGGAGGCCACAGACGGCCAGGGCAGGAGGGAAGCTTGGCTTCCGCCATTGCCAGGGCAACCAAGCCTCCTGCATGCTCCAGCTCTGTCACTTCCAGCCGCCATCTTGGTTGGGTTAATTTGCATATAGTCACTCTGATTGGCTTGTGGACATGGCTTGGGGCATAGCAAAGGTATGGTCAATTTGCATGTTTCTCTTTTATTAGATTAGATTGTTTGAAAATATCATCTCCCATTCAGTTGGTTTCCATTTTTTATTATTATTATTGTTGGTTTCTTTTGCTGTGTAGCAGGTTTTTAGTTTTATATAGTCCCATATATTTATTTTTTGCCTTTACTATCTTGCCTTTGGGGTAAAATGCGTAAAATGTTCTCTACAACTAAGGTCTGTAAGTTTAGTACCTGTTTTCTTCCATGTATTTTACTGTTTCAGATCTTATATTTAGGTCTTTGATACATTTTGAATTAATTTTTGTACATGGGGACACAGTGTAATATAGTTTTGTTCTGTTGCATGTGGCTTTCTAATTCTCTCAGCACCATTTATTAAAGAGGCTTTCATTTCTCTATTATATGTTTTTGGCTCTTCTGTCAAAAATTATTTTCCATATACATATAGTTTTATATCTGCAGTCTCACTTCTATTCCATTGATTTGTGTGTCTATTCTTCTGCTAATACCATGCTGTTTTGATTACTATAGCTCTATAGTATTTAAAGTCAGGTACCGTGATACCTCTGTGAATGTTGGTACACTTGAAGTTATTCCAGAGGCTCCTTACACTATCTTCATATTTTTGGATTCTTTTTCTTTTTCTGTTCTAATTGGGTGTTTTTTGCTTCTTCATATTCCAAATCACTGATTTGATTTTCAGCACCCTTTATTCTATTGTTGATTCCTTGTAAATTATTCTTCATTTCAATTAGTGTATGTTTCATTTCTGATTGGATCCTTTAAAAAAAATCCTTACCAGAGGGTATTTTTTCCATTGAATTTTTTTAGAGAGAATGGAAGGGAGGGGAGTGACAGAGAGAGAAACGCGGAAGTGAGAGAGACACATAAATTGGTTGCCTCCTGCACACAACCTGACCAGGCCAAGGACTGAGCCTGCAACCAGAACATGCCCTTGACCAGAATTGAATCCGAGACACTTCAGTGTTCAGGCTGATGCTTTAACCACTAAGCAAAACTGGCTAGGGCCTGACTGTTCCTTTTAATATATATATATATATATATATATATATATATATATATATATATATATATATATATATATTATTGATTACAGAGAGGAAGGGAGAGGGAGAGAGATAGAAACATCAATAATGAGAGAGGAAAGAGGGAGATTTCGAGAAACCAAGATGGCGGCATAGGTAAACACCGGAGATTGCTGCCTTGCCCAACCACTTCAAAAATACAACTAAAAGATGGAACGGACATTACCCCGAACCACAGGAAGGCTGGCTGAGTGGAAATTCTACAACTAGAAGGAAAGAGAAAAGCATACTGAGACTCAGGGGAGGTGCGGTGCGGAAGTAAAATACTAAGGTGCAGAGGTGCATGTGGAGCAGACTGGCGGCTGAGGGTGCGGTTGTCTTTTTCAATCGGGAGGGAGTCTCAGGCTCTGAGCTCCAGTTCCAGGCGAGTCTCTGGGGACCCAGACTCATACGGGAGAAGCGGGACTGTCTGGCATTGGTCGGAACTCGAGGGCAGCTTTTTCTCCGAGGTACTTGCAGCAGTTGCTGGGACACTGAGAAGCAGAGCCTCTGAAGGCAGGACTGAGAGTAGCCATAACTGCTCACTCCGCCCACCCTGTAGATCCCCTGGGACCTGCCCTGCCCAAGCCTTGCACGGAGGCATTTGCTGGATAGCCTCAGGCAGAGGCTAGATTAGCACCTCCCTAGAGATCAGGACAGAATTTCTCCCACTGCAGACACAGTTGATTCTCACAGCCAATTGGCCTGGAGGTCAAATCCCCCCCAGTGTTACCTACAACAATCAAGGCTTAAGTACAACAAGACTGTGCTCAAAGACCACAAGGGGGTGCACCAAGAAAACATAAAAAATGTGAAGACAAAGAAACAGGACACAAATTACAGAAATGAAGGAAAGCAAACTGCTGGATATAGAGTTCAAAACCACACTTTTAAGGTGTTTCAAGAACTGTCTAGAAGCCGCCGATAAATTTAGTAAGGCCCTCAAAAAGACTGGTGAGACAGCCGAAAAATGTAGTGAGATCCTCAAGAAATCTAGTGAGACCCTCGATGTTGTGATAAAGGACCAACCAGAAATTAAGCATACACTGACTGAAATAAAAAATATTATACAGACTCCCAACAGCAGACCAGAGGATTGCAAGAATCAAGTCAAAGTTTTGAAATATGAACAAGCAAAAAACACCCAACCGGAAAAGCAAAATGAAAAAAGAATCCGAAAATACGAAGATAGTGTAAGGAGCCTCTCAGACAACTTCAAGCGTACCAACATCCGAATTATAGGGGTGCCAGAAGAAGAGAGAGAGCAAGATATTGAAAACCTATTTGAAGAAATAATGACAGAAAACTTCCCCTACCTGGTGAAAGAAATAGACTTACAAGTCCAGGAAGCGCAGAGAACCACAAACAAAAGGAATCCAAAGAGGACCACACCAAGACACATCATAATTAAAATGCCAAGAGCAAAAGACAATGAGAGACTCTTAAAAGCAGCAAGAGAAAGAAAGTCAATTACCTACAAGGGAGTACCCATACGACTGTCAGCTGATTTCTCAACAGAAACTTTGCAGGCCATAAGGGAGTAGCAAAAAATATTCAAAGTGATGAATACCAAGAACCTACAACCAAGATTAC